ACCCAAAAAAACCCTGAACCACAAACAAACAAACAAACAAAAAAAGATCCTGGAGAAGAAAAAAACAACAAACCAACCCACAAATAAACCAATAAAATCCCGGCGTGCTGGAGCCTGCAGGTTGCTCTTTCTAAGGAATACTGACAGCCGCGACCTTCTCCTTGAAGTCCCTGCGATGTAATTAAGATTTGAGGGGAGGAGAGAGAAGGAGCGCTCTCTTGTTGATTTATTTTAATTCAGGGTGTTTCTGCATTTCATCTTTTCTGACCTTGGATGTGGTGTCTCCGGCAGTGAATACCCCCAGCTCCCCGCAGAAAGGCGCTGGCCAGAACCGCTGCGCTGGCTGGGGGAGCGGGGCAGGCTCTGCCCTCCCGGCCCCGCTGTGGGAGAGATGCTGCAAGTGCTTCTGCTTCCCTCGGGTTAACCCCAAATTAGTGGGTTCCACTACAGCTCGGCTCTGCCTGAGACACCGCACTTCAGTGTAAACAAAAGATGTCAGTATGCACAGAGAGACCGTGTGGCATCGCCTCAGAAAAAAGGCATTAAATTATCAACAAGTTAGTTGCACTGGAGAGTCATAATGAAGGTATTTTATTGCAAGGTAGATGGCGTTTTTTAGAGTGCTTCTTGTAGCCTTGTATTCACAATCTTTGTTTTTCCTGGGATTCCTTTTCCCTTTTTTCTATTTTCCCCACTCTCATTGTCTTTTATAACTGATGTGAAATATATTGTGGGCAAAATTTGCTATTTCAGATAGGATATTTAAACCTAACTGTTATCTCCCAGAACATTCCTTAAAAGACAGTCTTACTAATTTGTTTATTAAACGAAAACAATGTCTATTTGCATTGAACACAGTGAAAAAATTTCCTGAGCATAAATGGGAGAAGCCTTTGTCCCAAATCGGTGTATATGGTTGTAAAATGAAGTTAACTTTTAATTTCTCCATTCCCAGATCTTCTGCCAGCATGCAACGGGGAGATAACAACTATGTCTTTCCTACAAGATGTTGTGGACATTTTACTTCAGTATGTGGTGAAAAGTTTTGATAGATCAACAAAAGTTATTGATTTCCATTACCCAAACGAGCTGCTCCAGGAATATAACTGGGAACTGGCAGATCAGCCACAGACCTTGGAAGAAATTTTATTGAACTGCAGAACAACTCTGAAGTATGCAATTAAAACAGGTAATTGCCATGCTCATTTTCTACCCTGTATGGTCTCATCCATTGATTAAAGGTGTCATTTCATTTTATCTTGAAACGTTAAAGCTTGAAGCAGCAAGTGTATTTTGTCAGTTCCAAGCAGTTTCTAGCAGACAGAAATCGTTTCCCTGAATGACAGAGTACTACTCCAGCAGCCCTGTCTCTGTAGCGGTCGGTGCAGCATCACACACCCTTTCCGATTTAAAATTAATGCTTCTGTGCATCGGAGTTGCCGAGTGTGTCAGTGAGCAGGCTTTTCACCACCTTAGCAACTTTCCTCCATTCCTTTTCATCCATTTTACATGTGGTGGCCCGGGGATTGTCCCCGGCTCCGGGCAGAGCGGGGCTGCGCGGGGCGCGGAGCTCGGAGGCAGCCGGGGCGGGGGCGGGGGATGCG